GAAAGCTCTGGGCTCAGTCCCCGCTCAGGAGGAGAACTCACCGAATAAACCCAAGGTCACCTCCTTTCCCAGGGACGCCCTCAGGGGCTCATTTTAATAACCAGAGAGAAGTCATTGGAGGTCTTTCTCCTGCGCCCCAGGGCTCCTGACAGCTGCTACACCAAGTGCTCCTCGTGGTTGAGGGGACACTGGTGGCACGTGGGTTGTTTCCACCTGATGAACACCGCCGTGAGCACGGTTCTCCCCCTCTCAGTGGGGTGGACCGGTGTCCCATGCTCTGGGCTGTCTCTCCTGCATGCTAGCAGTGAGCCTGCCGTCCCACCAGGCCACACTGGGGTGATGAGCTCTTTGAGGAACCGCCAGGCTGTGACCACCCGATGGCTGCCGCTTACACCCCCACCAGCCGTGTCTGTGCCTCCAGTTCCCCACTTCCTCTTCAGCTCCTGCTTGTTGTGCTGGGGCGCCATCCCCGGTAGGGGCGGACACTGGTGCCTCCGTGGGGTCCGTGACGAGTGCCTGGGGCGTCATCCACACATGTGTTCATCGGTCACTTCTTGTTTTTCTCTGGAGCAACGTCTAGGCCATTGTAAAGTGCTCTTAACTGGTTTGAAGTGGCTGCTTCTTCACTTTATTGTACTGTATTATGCACTGTGGGTACAAGTCCCTCGTCCGAGAATGCATCTGCAAACAGGTCCCTTGTTCGTGTCCTGGCTTGTCCTTCACTCTCCTGCCCCGCTTTGAAACCCACTTGTTCTTTTGAGGAAGCACATTTGTACATATGTTGCCATCATCATTTTCAAAGCATTTTCTTTCTACTTGAGCCCTTGATATCAGCTCCCCATTCCCCCCCCTTGTCCCTTCCTTATGAACCCTTGATAAAGTTATAAATTATTATTTTCACTTTTTACATCATCCTCTGTCACCCTTCATCCACTTTTCTATTGTTCGTCCCCCAGGGAGGGGGTTATATGTTGATCCTTGTGATCGATTCCCCCTTTCTCCCCCCACCTTCCCCTTATCCTCCTGGTATCTCTAGTCTTATTGTTGGTGTTTATCTACCCTGGATTCCCTGTGTTGCGGGCTTTTACCTGTAGCAGTGTGCATGTTCTGGTCTAGTCCGCTGTGTGAGGTAGAATTGGGGTCACGATAGTGGGGGTGGGGTGGGGAGGAACATTAAAGAACTAGAGGAAAGTTGTATGTTTCATTGGTGCTCTACTGTCCTCTGACGGGCTCGCCAGACTGTAACTCTTGATGGAGCACGCTGGCGGTTTCAAACTTTGGACCCTGCCATTAGCAGCCCAACAAGTACCCCACTATCCCACCAGGGCAGGGCTCCTTTCCATCCAGACAGCTCGTTCTTAGGAGCACAGTTCAACAGGGAAGACTTTCTCTACCAGTTACATCAGACTAGCGTTCATTCTCCTTCGAAGAGCACTTAGGGAAGATTTTTGGTTTTAGATGGAAAAGATGATCTCAGGGAGATGGTTTCGGGAGTTCATTCAGCCTGATCTGCTCTGGATAATCCGGATTCCAAGCCCCTCATAGGATTTTAGGAGCCCTGGGTGGTGTAGTGGTTACCAGTCGGGCCGAGAACAGCAAAGTCACCAGTTCGAAAACACCAGCCACTCTGAGAGAGGGAGACAGGGCTTTCTACTCCCTTGAAGATTTTGCCTTGGAAACTGGGACGGGCAGTTCTCCGGTCTTAGAGGCTCGGCACTGACTGGGTGGCAGTGAATTGGAGTTGGTTTTCCTATTTAGAGATGTGATGCTTGAAGAGCATGTGCCAGGTGCACGGAGGATGCCGGCTGTAAGAGTTGAGCTTACCATCAGTGGCGATTGCACCCATTTATTTCTTTTTCTCTTTGTCACCACAGCTCACCTGCTGTTGGTCTCAGTGCCCCTGAGGGAAAGCCTAAGCAGCTGAGAAGTGAGAAGCATGTCACCCAGCTTCCTGAGTTCTTAGTTCTCAGCCACTCCTGTCTCTCCCCCTCACTGGGTCCAGCTTACTCAGCGGTCACATTGAATCTGTGAATCATTTCAGCTCATGTCTCTGAAGGATGAGGCACCGCGGTGTATAGTGGGCCCTGCTGTGTTGGGGAGTGGGAGGGAGTTGTGGGACAGAGCCTCATTCTCTGGAGTTGGGGTGGTACTTGAGTCCTTCTCCTGCCCTGTGGGAGGCCTGCCTGACCACGGGGTCCATACCAGCCCCCTTGACCTGTCCCCAGCCCCTGTGCTGCCTGAAATGGGGCATTGTGCTGTGAGCACAGATGTGAGCAGAGGGGCCGCCCCAGGCTGGAACACCTGGTTCCCTGTTCTGGCTGGCACCCCTTGGACTGCTGGACCAGATTGGACCAGGCTGGATACACTTGGAGACCCTTAGAGTCCATGCATCAGCAGAATGTTTAGGTCCCTTTCGCTCTGTTTATAAACACCCTTCACAAAATGAAGAGCTAATTCCAGGAACCCAAGCGAAAAGCGAATTTTGAGAATGCTGAGAGCAACAAATGTATAAGTGTGCTTTACACAATTGATGTATGTATGGATTGTGATGAATTGTATGAGCCCCAATAAAATGATTTAAATAAATAAATAAAAGGAGAAAAATAAAAAGCAAAATACAAACAAACAGCACACCCTTCGCCTGTGGATCGTCCTTTACAGCAGCCCCAAAGATAGGTCTCAAAGCCATCCCACGTCAGTAGCCGAGTGGGGATTCTGACACAGGCCTGCTGACGGCAGTGTCCATGGAAGGGAAGCAGACTCCTGTGTCTCCTTGCTGCCCATGCCCTGTCCTTCAGAGGGGCTGCTGAGGAAGCAGTATCTCTGATGTTCAATTTGCAGGCTCCCCCTGCCCCCCACACCAGCTCTAGGGAGCACCTGGTGTCCCTGGGGGAACTATGTCCCCGGGGCACAGTCGGAGCTTGTGCTCCAACAAGCACTTAGGTCTTCTCAAGCTCAGGCCTCCTGATCCAGGGCCGCGGTTTCACCCCTCCCCCTCTTTTCCAGGCAAGGGAGGAGCCCTGTGGTGCAGTGGTCACATGTTGGCCTGCTACTTGCAAGGTCCGCAGCTAGAAACCACCAGCTGCCCCTTGGGAAAAAGACAAAGCTTTTTACAGTCCCAGAAAACCCACAGGGGCAGTTCTGCCCTGTCCTATAAGGTCACTATGGGTTGGAATCAACTCCATGGCAGTGAGTTTGGTTTTCTGGGCAGGCAGGCTCCCTAGGGGACACAGGTCCCATCTGCCATGGAAACATTTCAAGTCTCTCTTCCTCTGAGGGGTGACAAACGGGTGCAGGGTGCTCACGCTTCCTCCTGGTTTTTCCTGGTAATTCTAAGAGCCTTGTGGGAAATGTAGGAGGCCCGCCATATAGTAAGCCAGGAGGAAGCTTGGAAGAAAATCTGCTTATGGGGAGGGAGATGATGGGGCAGGGGGTGGCTGTGGACGTATGATCTGGTGATCAGTCTTCCTCCAGGTCAGCCCTCTCCTTCCCAAGGCCCCTGGGACTCTGTAGAATTGCAGCATTAGAGATGGAGGTGGGGGGGGGGGGGCGTTGTCTCCTGGGTCTCAGTTCCAGAGGTTGCTCCAGCCCTGGGCTCACGGAGGTGATGGGTGTTAGGACCAGGGTTCTTTTCCCAGAAGTACGTTGCCCTCGTGTTATTTGTTCAAGTCTTTTACCGAGGTTATTGTTAGGTGCTGATCGTGGGCCACCTTCTGTACAACAGAGCGAAACAGCAACCGGTCTTGCACCTATTGGCCTCACCATTGGTCTTCCATTTGAGCCCTGAGTTGCAGCCGCGGGTCAGTCCATCTTCCTCTCTTTCGCTGCCCCTCCACTTTACCAAGCATGGTGTCCTTCTCCAGGGCCTGGTCTCTCCTGACAGCGTGTCCCAAGTATGAGAGACAAAGTTTCACCATCCTTGCTGCTAAGGAGCACTCTGGTTGTACTTCTTCCGAGACAGACTTGCTTGTCCTTTTGGCCGCCACGGTACTTTCAGGGTTCCTTGCCAGCACCACGGTATCAAATGAATCTGTTCTTCGTTGGCCTGCCTTATTCACTTTCTTAACTTTCACATGCACATGAGGCGATTGAAAATACCACGGCTTGGGTCAGGTGCACCCTAGTCCTGAAAGTGATTTACCCCATGCCATGTGCTGTTTGATCTGCTGACTGCTACTCCCATGAGTGTAGCTGATGGATCCAAGCAAGGCAAACTCCTTGACGTGCAATCCGAGTCCTAGATCCAGACGTTTTCCTCTGCGTGTGTGGGTGCAAATTCCTCAAGAAGGTAGTTGCTTCCTTATAGACTGCTCTCGTCATGGTTTCCCTCACAGTTCCATTGTCCAGTTGAAGCGGACAGCGGGACCATTCCCGAACTTTCCTGAAGGGATTCTAACCAATCCCAGCATCGTTTCACTCCCCGCCTGGGTGCAGCCTTGGAACCCTGTCCGTGCAGAATGTCCTCCGCAGGTGGGCGAGATCTAGTTTCAGGTGTGGCTTTACCCAGGGCTCCAGAAATGGGACCAAAGCCTGGTTTCTCAATTGGGGCTGAGTTTTGACTCAGCCAGGCCATCTCAGGGCACACGATGACCACTGCCCTGCTGTCTCAGGGAGGAAGACAATTCTCTGTCCCAGCATTCTTTGAGAGAGCCACAAGCCTTATGCTGATTGGACCAGCTGGGGTCCTGTGAGCCTTCCTGACCCAGTGTGTGGCGTGCTGTGATCGGCCGCTCTGAAGTGAGTTGCGTGCTCCTTAGCGGGTAGCGGGCATGAACCAGTGGCGGCAGCCTCCTGGACTGTAGGGTGCCCCTTCCTTGACCCTGCACTACCCACCCCTCCAACCATCGGATGTTGCTCTCGTTTCAGGAATACATCGACGCCCACCCTGAGACTATTGTCCTGGACCCCCTACCTGCCATTAGGACCCTGCTTGACCGATCCAAGTCCTATGAGCTGATCCGGAAAATCGAGGCCTACATGGAGGGTAAGGAAGGAGGGGTGTGGCCCCTCCCCCACTGAGGGCTGGGCGGCCAGGGGCTGGGGCTTCAGTCTTTTTCAGCATTTTGGGACAGAGTGGAGAACATTCTGGGAGCCCTTTCTTTCTGTCCTTGGGGCCAGCCAGCCGATGAGGAGAGAAAGGCCCCAGTGTACTCTGGAGGGGTGTGGGGTGGGGTGGTGGTGGCTTGGACCACTTGAGGCTTTTGTTCCCTTGTGTCCAGCCCACAGGCGGCAGTGGGTGGCAGGGCCATGTTCAGAGGACAGAGGAGGTGCAAGTAGAATAGCCCAGCGGCACGTAAGGGGAGTTATGTAACCCGCTGAAGGAGACAAACAAGGAATTTAAAAGGCCTTTAATCAAACACATGGAGGTCTGTCATGTGGTGGCTGAGCCTTTCGGGGTACTGGGTACGCTGTGTCCTCAGGCGTGAGCCTCCCTAGTCACCGCAGGCTCTGGTCCCAGGGAGGGTATCCTCCCCACCTGGCAAAGCAGGGCAGCTTGAGAGCATGTGGAACTGCCTTCCCAGGATGTTAGTTATGTCAGCCAGGCTTTCTGGAAGACTAACAGAATCAGGACCTCCTAGTTTCCTCGGCCTGTGCCCAACCTCCCCTGCTGAGAGCTTTTCATTTGAAGGGAAAAAACTTTTTGCTTGGGCCCAAGATTCCTCAGGGTGGGGATGTACACCACCACCCCATGATGGCTGACAGGTCTGGCCTGGGGTTCTTTGGTGCAATAACAGGGTTAGTGGGCAGAGCAGGGCCCCCAGGGCCAGGGCAGCCTGTGAGAAAGGGGCTGTCCTGGGCAGCATGGGGCTGCCCGTGTCAGGCTGACTGTGAACTGGCTATGCTTGTTGTCCCTTGCACATGGGAGGCTCTGAGGGGTCAGCAGAACCTGCCTGTACGTGGACTTCCCACTCGGGGTCCCCAGCTCCTGACCTCTAGCCTTTATGTCCATGTCCATGACCAGAACAACCACCCCTACTTCCATTTAGGGCACAGAACACGAGAGCGCCTTGAAGAAGACCCCTGACTGCTGAGGTCTGTCCCCAGGAGGGCTGGGGCCATTGGTTCTGAGGAGTGTGCCCTGGGAGAGGAGTCATACCTGACCATGCTGGGATGGGGCCTGAAGCCCCCATCCTAGGTGTTGCCAGCATCCCCAAGCTTGGTATAGAGCATGGGACTGGCTCGGCGGGGGGGGGGGGGGGGGGGGGGGGGGGGGGGGGGGGGGGGGGGGGGGGGGGGGGAAGGTAGTCCCCTCCTTCGGATAAGCTTTGTCAGTCAGTCATCACCCTGTCTTCCTTTGGGCCATGCTGGCCAGTGATACTGTCAGCTCCCCCTCCCTTTGCTGGGTCCACCAGAATCTCAGATGAGGAGAGTCTACAGAGGTGCTCCCTGGGGAGCGTCCCTGTGCCAAAGTCTGCCCCTGGATGGCATTTTGACTCTGTATGACACTCTTTGGAGGAGGGTGGCTAAGTCCGAATCTGGGTCCTGCTAGCATGGGGCCTTGGGCAGGTTGCTGTGTCCTGGACTTATCCGGCTGTTGTTACTAGTGTGTGTGCACAGTGCTTGCTCCTCAGAGCACCCAGGGCTGCAGCTGCTGTGGCCACACCTGTTTCAGTTGTGTGTGTGTGTGTGTGTGGAGGTTGGGTGGGGAGTGCTTGGGTGCGCATGCTGCATCTGTTTGGGAGCTTGGTGTCTGTCGAGGATTTTCACGGACCAAAGGTGGGCACCCGGACCTGGTGGGTGGGTGTACACAGCAGGGTCAGGGAACTGGTGGCCTCATGAGACTTGCTGTACCCTGTGCAGGAAGAGGGATGGGTGGGAGCCGAGACATAAGGGAGTCTCACTGCTCACTGTTCAGCTGGAATCTGTTCTCTCTCTCTCTCTCTCTCTCTCTCTCTCTCTGTCTGTCTTCTTTCTCATTCAGCCAAGGGAAGTGGCCCGGTTAGTGGTGGAGCCTCAGGGTGGGGCTGGAGCTTCTAATGGGCAGGGACTGGAGATGGCGAGGGGTTAACAGGACAACTGGGATAGAGAGATAGGACTGACCTGGTACACCGCGCCTCAACACGGACCGTCCTTCCACCTCCATGGGTGTGCAAGTCACTCTCTTTCCCATCAGTTCGTGGGAATTGGGGGCCTTCCCTCTCTGGGCCTCGCCGAGTGGCCTGACTCTTCACTGGGGTTGGGGGCCGGGGGCTCTTGCCCAGCTTGCCTTTCACACCCCACCCAGAGTGGGTAAGGGGGAGCACATGGTGCTGTTTGGGCCCTGGAGTTTGTCTTCTAAAGGCTTCCTGCTGTAACCACTGTGCTTGCCTCCCTGAGGTGAGGACTCTCAGCTCATCAGCTCTGGCTTCAGCCAGGGCCCCCACACGAGCGGACCCTTTGTGAAGCTCTGGGTCAATGTTCAGACCCACTGGCCTGGGTGCCCCTGGACCGGCTACCATATACCTGGATCCGGAGTCATCCTCAGCGTGGACTCTGGGGGTTGTCTGCCGGAGAGAGAGCTCACTTCGACCAGGGTTCTGGGATTTGGGTAAACCAAGATGGAGCTGGGGGGCTCTGATGAGGACAGGGTACGGTTTTCATGCCCACCCTCTCCAGAGGTGTGATTGAAATGGGCAGGGCAGGCCAACTTGGCCAGCTGTGGGGTCCCAGCCAGTGAAGGCGTGGAAGGGGGAGTGAGGCGCTGAGCCCTTCTGCCCCGCCTTATACCCAGCCACAGGCAGGAGAGGGTTCTGGGTCCCAAGTGCTCTGCCAGGGCTGCCATGCGGGTCACCCAGGGCAGGGCCCAGTACCTTCCAGACCCAGTGCGAGTCTGCTGACCAAACCCTCCAGGCAAGCAGGGCACCCGGCCAGCAGGAAATGGCCTGTGGGTGGCTGACACTGCAGCACCCTGATTTTCTTATCAAGCCCCAGGCTGGCTTGACTTCTTCCAGGAGCAGGCAGGGGCGGGGTTTCCTGGAGCCCTTTCCTGCCCACACTCAGGAGGCTGGTCTCTGCTGCCCATGTCCCTGCGTCCTCCCAAGTAGACAGGCGGCTCCTTTGGGTGGGAACAGACCCTGCTCCCAGAGGGGCAGCTCCCTTGTGTTCCTGGAGGCACCCAGCCCTTCCAAGCATGCTGTAAGCGGCCATAATTACCCTTGAAGCACCCATGGATAATTACAGCATTCCAAGTTGGGAAACTCCCTAGAGCTGTCACAGTTCCTGTGTGTAGCCACTTCAGGCTGCTGTCACAACCCTGGGTGGCTGCTGCAGGGGCCCCTGGGCCTAAGCGAGGGGTGCCTGCCCTGCAGTGGGGGCGGGAGCGCTGCCCCACCAAGGCCACAAGGAATGACATTGACGGCAAGGGGGGAGGTGAGAGGTCCGTGCTCGTGGGGCACATAGGTCCAGACTGTGGCAGCCCCTTTGGCATGGGGTCAGTGGGGAGTGGCTGCCTGGCCAGTCGCTGCCTAGGGGCACCACTTTTCTCCATACCCAGAGCCTGGTGCTAAGTGACCTTTCCCTGCCCACACCTGGCCGTTTTACCGATTCTCCTAGCTGTCAGGTCTCCCCATAACAGAGATGGGAGGTAACTTGGGCTCCAGGAAGATAGCACTGTACCCGCTCTCCTGTCCATCAGAGTGCAGTGTCCAGACAAGGACAGCAGCCCACTTCTACCGAGGTCGGCCCTCATGGTCTTGGACCCAGCCGTCAAGCCCTGTGATGGAGAGGGTGGCTATGGAAAGCACGAAGGGCAGCAAGTGCCAGGAGCACCTTTCTCAAGGGCCCTACAGACACCACCCCCCTCCACTACCCTCCCCCCCACAACCCCCCGCATGTCTCTGTTCCTAGCTCATCAGCTGAACTGAGGCTCAGGCCACACCCAGCTCCAGCTGCTGAGTAGTCTGGGAAATGTTGTCCTTATTCTGGGCAGCCGTGTGCCCAGCTAAAATTCAAGAGTTTGCTCCCCAGGCAAGAATGGGAAACCCTGCGTTTTGGGGGGAAATAGCGGTGTGCCGCACTGTCTTCAGAGATGCGAGCTGCTGCCTGGGAGCCACCTCTCCCTCACGTGATGGACACTTAGAACGGCATTGTCGTCTGCCAGCCTGGGGACAAGCTCTGTCCCTGCAGGGCAGCTCTTACAAGAGGTAGGACCATGGCCGAGTTAGCTGCTCTGAGCGCCCGGATAGACGACTGTGCTGCCCTCAACTCCAAGCCACCAATCCACTTAGGGGGGGGGAGCCCACCGTCCCTGTCCATGGCTCCATAATCGAGCCACAGTGCCCTGGTTGGTGACCTCTTCTGGGAGGCAGCCAGGTCCTTGGGGACACACCTGTGTGCCCCCACACACACACACACACACACTAGGAAGGTAGGCAAGGTCAGGCAGCCCTGCACCCAGGTCCTGTGAAACCACATGGAGGAGTCCCTGCAAGTGTGGACCAGGAAGAGGGGTGCCCTGGTCACAGCTCACAAGTCTCATGAGAGCCCCTTTGGGATTTGGAAGTGGTCACTGCAGCCCAGAGGAGCCCTGTTGGCGTAGTGGTTAACAGTTGGGCTGCTAATTGCAAGGTTAGCAGTTCTAAACCATCTGAGGGACAATGATGAGTCTCAGAAACTCACCAGGGTCACTGGGAGTCAGCCTTGACTCGATGGCAGTGAGTTTAGTTCAGAGTCTGGCTCTGCAGCCCGGTGGCCCTGGTCCAGGCTGTGTCCCCTGGCGTGGCCGATGTGAGGTGTGAAGAGTTACCCGGGCTGGGGACTGGGAGCTCCCTCCATAAGTGACTTGGAGCTGAGGGCAACTTGGATCCCCTCGCCTGGAACCTCCCACACGTGCTTGCATGGTGACAGCTGGCCTGCTCGGGCACAAGGCCTCCCAGGGAGGGGCAGGCAGCACCAATGGAGGTCTCTCTTGTGGTGACAGGGGAACGTAATCGGGGCTCATCTTGGAGTTGGTGTGGAAGGAGCAAGGTAGAGTAATTGAGACACCAAGGAAATCGGAGAGAACAT